CCAAGTGAAGTAAAGCGGCCTTTTGGCATCGCATTGATGAGGTCTAATTCATACATTCAATATTATTCCTTAAGCTGCAAGGGGTTGAAGCTAAAATATGAAATATATCGTACGTCCCTGAGTTCGTTACAACAATAAAGTCTTGCAGTGGTGTAACATTGTCAAACAGCAATAATCAAAGTCTGCGTCAACATGTTCATCAAATTGGCATTAATATCCAGAAAAATAAGATGAGAAAACGAACAAACGAACGATTCCGCTGATTTGCATGGCGTCTCGCAAGCTCAATAATCACAATGACGATGAAAGCATCGAAAAGTCGAGCTCGCGGAGATTGGCAGAGACAAAGACGCTTGATAACAGAGAGGTATCCTCTCGATACCAGACTACGCTTCATCCACGTGTGCGAGTGGTCGACGAGGCGGAGCGATAGAGGAGGTGGGGTTGGGGCTGGGAGGAAGGGACGAGGCGACGGTCAGCTATGGCTCCCCGGCCCCTCAGCGTCCTCCCGCTCCTCCAAAAATCAATAGGTTCAGCGTCATACTCCCGCCTCGGCCTCGGCCTCGCCAAAGGCTCGACGCTCGCTCTTTCCGTCTGGCCAGACTCTTCGACCTGCACAGTCTACCGTTTTTCCTAACTTCATCGACGATAATATATTAACCATGGCACAACTCGACTTTCTAATCAGCTGGCCACCCCACTCACCATCCGCAATTTTCAATTGCTTTCCAACGTATTTTCCATTTTAATGCCCATTGATTTGAATGCTAAAATACGAAAATCAGGCAAATTTGTTAGGCCTCGACCAAGTAAGCTGACCGCAATTACATTTTGTTGAATAAATCCGATCAATCCATCTTTCATATGGATTTGTTTAAAAGTCGCGTGTTTTTTGTTTTTGTTTTTGTTCTTTGTTTTTGTTTTTTGCTATATTCAGAAATCTTATGGTCTTATGAAATAGCCTGCTCGAAAATTATTCAATTTTCAAACAAGAAAGAAGATTTAAGAAAGTATTTTGTACGCGTTGCCCTGTTTTGCTGAGATCTTGAAATCTTTAGGTGAATCTGGAGCGGAAATTGCGCATTGGGATATCGTCGGTAAATGTTGGTGCGTTTGACAATACCTGCGACATGTGCACGAAATGTAGAAAATCAAATTTGTATACAATGAACGGAAAAAAAAAGTTTGATGAATTTATATTTATTTAGTTTTTTTTTACATCAAACTTTTATTTCCAAATACAAAGTCTAATAATAATATTGATATTGGATTTTAATATTGATAATTTGCTTGGTATTCGAATGAATGAAAGGAAATTTCACCATTTTGACAATGACGATTATTGTTTCTAATTAGTCTCGTTAATCTAATTTTAAACGTACCTACAATTTTTCAAGAAATAAAAGTAGCCAAACACAGCGGTTCAATGCCGATATTTGCCAGTGTCAATTGAACGAGCGCACTAGAGTGATATGCAATTTGTTAATTAAATAATAAATTTTACAAGATATTTACTCATTTGGCCAATGAAAAGCTTAAAAAGTAATATAAGGTCGCTACTTGAAATAAAAACGTGAAATAGCGATAAATAATTTCCATTAGCTTTTTAAAGTATTTGCTTTAATTACTAGAGTCCTCCGAGAAACCTATTATAAACCTTATAAATTAAAAATAATTACTTTATTTCTGTCCTCTATTAGTTATACGTCTAATAATATTTAATATACAAAATAATGATTGTAAATCGAGAAATTAAAGGAACGATGGGCAGAATTAATTTACGCATTGATGTTTGGAAAAGTCTTTATTCGATTTAATAAATCGATATGCATTAATTACATGAAATTCCAATAGAAGTTACAACTTTTGGTAATAAAAAATATGCTGTTCTTATTTAAACAAAAAAAAAAACAAAAAAAAAAATAATACTAATAATAGAAAATAAAAGATATAATTAACTATATTTGAATTGTGAATAATATTTTCATCGAATGTAATTTTTATGTCGATAACGCATTCATTCGCTGATAAAAATAACTCAAACGTCTAATTATTTATAACTTTCAATAGCTTGTATAGACAAGGCCAGTATCTGTATTAAGATCGTTTATGAGATACTTTTAAGTAACGATAAGTACATCGCACATCCACGAATCCTTGAAATTTCATGATTATCATTCTGTAGCGAATGTTTACATCATCGCACTTTTACTAAATATACTAATTATAACTACTGACAGAGCTTTTGTTTGCTCATAGCATATTTAACTTCTTCATAAATTACAGATATCAAATTTTTTTATTTATATTCAATTTCATATTATGAAATAATGACTAAATTACCAAATAGCCATTATAAACAGAACAGTACAATATTTTAATTCAAAATAAGAAAATAATTTCTTTATAAATTTCTACTTTATTAATTAGCTAAACTTTAAAATAATACGTTGAAAAGATTTTGCATTTGCTCTTATTTTACATTCGATAATGCAAGATTTCATAAATTATTGTAAATTCAATGGGGTTTTTATTAAAGTACGAATTTGATTTTCTACTCTTACGTCCACATCGTTTTAAATAATTTACAAAAATCAATTACGTTTAACATAATTATTATTCGCAATTTTTCAATACCATAATCATTTCACAATAACAAAGTCAACCGTACATTCCATCTCGTAATTGTAAGAATTTTGCTCTTTCGTATATGCGTACGTCATAATTCAGATAGCATACATAAACTCGATACTACTTAATATGAATTATTTATATATCAATCGCTTTATATGTATTATCTCACAGTCAATAAATAGAAACTGCACGTAATGTTATTGAGTAAGTTCAATAATATTCAATAAGCTGCTTCTTTATTCGACTACTAGACACACTGCAAGCAAACTTTATTCCGCTCATTATCATTCCTTATCATTGTCGTGGAGAGAAACTCACTAGATTATTAACAGAGCTTAATTTTAAACGTAAGAAACTATATTATTTTATAATCGCGACTGTTAAAAAAAAAAAAACAGGTGGAAGACCTCGCTTACCCGTAATATTAGCCGCTGGACAACAACTCGTAAACGACGAAAGCAAGCCTAAAGAAAGAATGCCCCCCCCCCCACGCCACCCACCTCCACCACCACCGTCCCTCCCAAAAACGAAAATCTAAAGATTTAGCGGTGTAAAAAACATAACATTCCTGATTGCTCTCCGCGCCCCAAACGATTATTCGCCTTGGAGCGCCTTCGGGTGGACCACCGTAGCGTGAAAAACGACGTCAAAGGGATGGTAGCGGCTCGCAGCCTCTTTCGGGGTTCTCCTCGAAGGGTAAATCAACGTTCCCCAACGCGACTTCAAAGACTCGCTCGGTCGTCCCTCCGTGGGCCATTATCCGGTGCATATTAGCGCGCTAATTACCCGCTATTGGGAATAATCGCCGCGAGTATTTTGGAGGATCAATGGCGTTTTTAATATCGATGGGTTCTAATGGTTTCCGTTACGGAGTTTAGCGTACGAGGGCCGAGGATCGGATCGCGTGTATTATTGGGAATGCAATGCGTTTGAGAAAAGACGAATGAATATTCTTCACCATTGCCGCAATTTATTAAATTGATTTTCCATTTTATGTTGTAAATTTTATGGAGGATAATCATTGTATCGGGTAGACAAAGATTTTCATATTGATTGTTTGTCTTTAAAGAAATACAGCAGTGCCTTAAATGTCTTGTTTTAATAATTTCAAAGGTTTTAAGTATTTAAGGGTACATTAACAAAAGCTATCTTGAATTACAATATAATTAATTATAGTAAATATTGTTTGAAAATATAATGCACGATATATATATATATATATATATATATATATATATATATATTTGTAGAAGGCTTTTAATTTCATTCTCTTTGAATCTTATTAAAAAACGAATATATCTTTAAAATTAAATTTTGAATAAAAAACAACTCCACTACCACGATTACATATTTGAAAGTACATATTTGAAATATTAATGAATAAACGAATGATTTGGACGAGTAAACGCGTGATACACAAATTAAGTATTTTATTGACATTGAACGGCACTTTAAACAAATATTTAATAAATGATAACAATGAATAAAGGGTGAACGTTCGGTTAAGGTTCAATGTCTTTTATCATCGAATATCGTGTGAATATTTAACGAACGATAAATGAAGTATTACTTCAAGGAAAACACATGCAAGTATAATTTAAATTCAAACGAAGGACCAATGACGTGAAAAATATTATCTACGGAGCGTCGATCAAAATAAGTTCTTTATTATTGGCTATTTACCCCTCTGCCGTATTACCGACATTTACCATCAGCAACGACACTACTTGCATTTGTTATTTAACCAACGAACCTACGGATAAAAATTAGAAAAATATTTTAACGCCAATATTGAAAATGCAATTTTTTTAATAGGATGAGAGCAAGGACAATCAATTATGAGATAAATTTTATTAAACATTTGCTACATTGTTCTCCTGACTTTTACTATAAAACTCAAGTATTGTCATAGAACATATGTGTGTAAATTGCAGTTTAATTTCAAATTTCTCTTTATCGTTACATAATACCACCAATAAATTAATAAGCCCGTTTCATCCCATTTAAGTCGCATTGCTAAAAATTCGATAATATTATTTATTCTATCATTCGTATTAAAATAAAATTGAATATTACATTTTTCCACACATTGGTGGAAATATCGCTGCGATAAATATTATTGAATTATTATTATCATTATTGTTTATGAAAACTACTATCGCACATTATTTACGAGCTGATCGTGTATTGCGCATGCGTAAACAATCGTTATCAACGCACAGTAACATACGCACACGCGAACGCGGTCCGATACGAAATGCAAACACCAGAGTACGATGAAAAAGTATGTTCTCCCATTATAAGCCAATTACTCCACATCGCTCTTTCATTTATAATAATCCAAACGACAGCGTGAATCACAAGTAGCCTGTAAATTTATAATAAGGTGGTGGGAAAATCGCTTACTAGCGCTATCCACATGCTCGACATTAGTAGATAATTTTCCAGTCGATCGACGCGGGTACGTAACTATGTATCAACATCATTTTAATTTGAAAGCTGGCGGTCGTTCTGCTATTTACGAGGATAATGCCATACGCCGAGTCGCCGATTTCTTTATTTCCAAAATTTTCTGATTTTCACTGAAAATTCTAAGAGACTATCAATATTTGATCGAGACTTGTTCGTAACATAACCTAACGAAGGGATACTAATGTAATATTTCCTTCGTCTCGGCTTGCGATAAGGAAAGCATACGACGAAAGCTAATAAGAGGACAAATATGTCGTGCGCCAGTGAATTGTCAAGATCTCATGAGTACCAAAGTTTTCGAAGCTCCGTACCTCTTCGAAAAATTGTTGTCGACTCTGATGGTATGAAGGTTAGTTAATAATAAGTATTGTTTGCTTTCGCACAAAAGCGCTTTTGAATATGAGAATTATTTAGTAGGGACCATATCACAAAATTGGCTGATAATTCCTAAATTTATTTCTCTGTTGCTTGTTCGTGTATTGTCTTAATCACATAAGCCTGGTCTTGCTTTATTATATTTGTCTTCTTAGATAAAGGGATGATTAAGCATAATTAACCCTCGCAATCTTGTATAATTATGATAAACTTTTTCTTTGCAATGGTAAAAACATTTTTCAATGCATCTTCAAGTTGTATTCATGAGTAATATATTAAAATTTTTTGCAGTTAAATTGTCCCTTTATTAATATTGAACGTTATACTTAAAACTATAATGGAATTTAATGTTTAATTATAATTTCGTACTGAGACATTAATTTAAAAATGATAAATTAAATTGAAATGTTACTACCTTAATTTATTTTTCAAATTCATTTTTTTAAAAAAATTTTTTTTTTTCATAAATCATAGTCTTTCTAATAATATTACATATAATATTAGACTATAAACTAGTTTTATAACTAAATAGAAATATTAGTATATTATAACTAAAACAAATATCTAATATTTATGTTTAATATTTATATGTGTATACTGGTTATTAGAATTAAATGATTTATTTGTTAAAATATTTTGTAAGAGCACAAAACAAGCGTTGAAATAGTTATTCAACATAAACGTAATAAAGGTAGATTCAGTTAAGAAAAGAAAATGAAATTTTGTATAGGCAAAGAGTATTGGCTATTCGAATCGATTCAAAGAATTGTTTAATAAATCCAATTTCTTAAATAGGGATGGAAAGTATACGATTCAAGTCCAAAGACTATTAAATGTCCAATTATTTGTCTTGCTCCAGTCAGTGGAACTGCTGACATCTACTTCAAACAAATATTAAGTCTATCTGCTAAAGGCTACAGAATTATATCCGTAAGTATTACGATTTACTTATGTTTTTATTGAATGATAACTATTTTTAATGAAGCAAGTTTTACACGTTAGTGTAAAATATTTATGATTAAATAATATTCTCTTTTCAGGCTGAACCACCAGTTTACTGGAATGTAAAAGAATGGTGCGATGGATTTAAAAAGTTGTTAGATTACATGGAGTTGGATAGAGTTCATTTATTTGGTGCATCATTGGGTACGATAATTACAATAGATATTTAAATATTATTATTATTAGATGTTGTATGTAAAATTGTATAAAAATGTAAAATTAAAAAATTTCTTTTTAACGCTGTTTGATCTATGTTTGTAAACATTTATTTCTTCATTGATAAATTTATGGTCATAACTAAGTGTTGAAACTGTATAAAAATGTCTTACTACTACCATCGCATAGGTTGATGTTCTCCCTAAATCTCACATTTACTCAATAAAATTAATTAACGTTATTTGACAATTTTCACCTTACAATTAGCAGTTATATAAAAAATGTGTGTAGACATAGATTAAACAACAAATCATAAGAGTAATAAGATGTTCTAGACATACATTAATAACTCTAGAAATTGAATAAATTGAATTAATTTATAATGCCTACTGACAGGTGGTTTCCTTGCTCAAAAATTTGCTGAAGTCAACGCACACTGTCCAAGAGTAGTTTCTCTAATTTTATGTAACACTTTCACCGACACCTCAGTGTTCAGCTATAATGACTCTGCTGTTGTGTATGTTTCAACTTATAAAAACTAATTAAACTTAAATAGGATCTTATTAAAAGATTTATGTATATAGTTGTTTTATTGATAAATCAATTATGCGAATATAATCAATGTGACATAAATATAAATTATCTTTGACAAAATTTATTTATAAATCAATCATGAGTGTCGTTAGATTTTAACATTTTCATTAGATATGCTTATTTAATTATATGTAAAGGACTTTGACTACGATTTTTGGGTCGATTCACTTGCCCATGATTTTATGCCGAATACTAAATTTATTTTGCAGATTTATTATATAAAGCAGCCCAAAAAAAAAAAATATGTATATATATATATATATATATATAACTTTATATTCGTTCGATAATGTATTTATAAAATAGAACTTTTGATAAACAAAATGAGTATGTAATTTCAATTAGCTTAATCATTCAGAGTAGCGAAAATTATTTTAGCGAATGTAAAGTTTCGATTGAAACTAATACAACGATTACTTTACAGATTTTGGATACTACCATCGCTTGTTTTAAAAAAAATGGTGATGGGAAATTTCGAAACAGAAAAGGTTGACAATGAAATGATCGATGCTATTGATTTTATGGTCGAAAGAGTACGTAACATTCTAAAAGCGTTAATGACAATTCAAATATTATACTAAAGTGAATTCATTTCAGTTGGAAAGCCTCAGTCAACCAGAACTAGCATCTCGATTGACAATAAATTGTGTAAGATGCTACGTTCAGCCTCAAAAAATTTGTCACTTGCCAATTACAATAATGGATGTGTTCGATGAATATGCTTTATCAAATGATGTGAGAGAAGAAATGTATAAATGCTATCCCAATGCCAAACTAGCTCACCTAAAAAGTGGTGGTAATTTTCCGTACTTAAGCAGATCTGCAGAAGTGAATTTACACTTACAGGTAATGAATAATATTAATTATAAAACGAATTCTAAACAAAGAAATAATGTTTATGCAAAGATGCATTGATACTAATGCAAAAAGTTTTGGCTCTTAAATTTAAGGCAAAATATAACATTAAAATAATTTAAAAGCCGAATTAAAGAAACTTTAGAAACTTTATATGTTGTTTTAATAATCGTGATACCTCATTACTTAAAGTAACATTCTAATTTCAACTCTATTGCTGTTAAAAAATTAATTCTATTACCGCAACATTTGGCTAAAACGACAATATTAATTTAATATGGTAATTGAACTTTTTCTTCTCTATATTCGTAAAAGTTCTGTAAGAATAAACTTTTAAAAGAAGAAAGTTTTTTAATTTACAAGTTTGCCGTGTATCTACACGAATATATAATTTCATGATAAATATGTAATTTATTCGCAGTATGTTGTTGATGTTGCAGTATGAACACTTGTCACTTGAACATTGAATAAAATTTTTAGAAACTATGAAGAAAAAAAAATAATAAACATCTGTAACAGAAATTTCATTGTTACAGATACATTTAAGGCAATTTGATGGAACCGAATATGCAGCTTCGAAAAGAGAACCTTATATTGGAAAAACTACATAAAAACCTTTATTCTTACACGTAATATGATATTTATACAAAAATGTATACAAAGGCAACTATTTTAGGTATTATCCAATATAATTAATTAATTGTTTAATTTGCCATAATATAAACGAAACACTTATATCAATGCTAATGGAACCGAACAAATTTTACTCAAGAAGCCCTAAATTTCTGTGTTATGTATTGCTAAGTAAAGTTTTTGCGTTAGAATAGTTTTTTATATTTTTACATATACAATGATTTGTTATTACGAATATTATTTATTACGTTATTATTTATTATATAATTTTGTTATAAAATTCCAGATTACTATAAGCTTTAAGTAGAAGTACTGAAATTTAGGAAAGTTTATTTGTATATAAGAGCAATAGTTTTTGCTTTTGCACGACACGAATGAAAGTAAATTTTATTTTATATTGGCATAGTGTCATATAGATAATAATTATGAATATATTAATTAGGAGATATATATATATATATATTTTTTTTTTTTTTTTTCATTATTGTCAGGGGCCAATTTGCAGAGAGTGTCGATATTTTTCGTTTGTATAATAAATTTTAATTAATTATAAAGAGTCACTTTTATATTAATATAGAATAAAAACCAGAATGATATTTATACCGACTAAAATTCAGATACAAATTGTAATTTTTGTAATGTACTGCAATTTCTATTGCAATCTTATGTTTTGTTTATTAAAGGAAATTAATAGATATATCCACAGGATCTATTGATTTGAATTATTTATAAAGTCACATTGATGAGATCGCATAAAAATAAACTGAAATATTATTTATTGTTGAATTAGTGTTGGTATTTTATTCATTAAAGTCGTATCTGCCCTTTAACATTAATTATCAAAATATCTACAGTATTTAAGCGGACCAAATTGATATGGTAATGTATTATTTTTTTCGAAAGTCACAAGAAACGTTAAATATTATGTCGAATAATACATTATCTATTTAAAAGAACTTTGGAAATACAACGAAATACTTCATTATATTAATGATACAATGATTTAACGATGACATAATCATTTGTATCAACTATCTTCAGTTCGATATAATTCGCATTAACTTTCGATTATTATTCAGAAAATGAAATTAATGTGTTGCAGAATGTTAAAATGGAGTATATAAGAATCTGTTTAAAGAAAATAAAAAAATACAATTTGTAATAAAAATAATTTTATTCCTTAGACAGTCTCAAATTAACACAAAATATATTACAATTATACATTACTTTCATTATTATGTGCTTTATGTTAGTATTTTATAGCGAATTTTCATAAACATAATAAAGTTGCTATACATCGAAATAGCTTTAATCGCAACTTTTTTGATTTAGAGCAATCGTCGATAAAACGTATTTAGTTGTATTATCAATATCAAATATCCGTAAATAAGGATTTTCGATTTTACTAAGTATCATTATGTAATTATTGTAAGATTATTAATCTTGTTATTTCCAAATAATACGCATATCTTTAGCTTATAAGTTATTGCCTTTTCAGTGGAATATTTTGGAAAGCTAATTATACTTTGAAATATTGTTGGCGTTTAATGTACACAATTTAGTCGAATTAAAAATTATTGTTTGCGATTTATATGAATAAGCAGTTTATTTCTACATTACTATTATCGAACGGCATTTGGTTATAATTTTTTTAAAACGTGCCCCTTAAAAATTGTCGACCGACTTAGTTATTTATTTTTTGTTTTTTGTTTTTGGCTAATTAATATTTAATCGAAATTTTCATACGTAAAATATTTAATTAGAAGTGCAACTACTGAAAGACTAGATATTAGCTTGATAATGGCCAATTATCGAATGACAAATAAAGCGTCGCTGTAACACACCTAGGCACAAACAAAATACAGTAATTAGGCTTAAGTAATAACGTAGAGGAAGGAAGTATACCTTTCCTCAAAGTATGCATTCAGGCTTCATTTTATTGTCTTGCCTCAAAGAGAAAATGAAGCGGATTGTTGGCATTGAGGCGGTCCCACAAAACTAAATATTTTTTAATATATTTCAAGTGTAGAAAATATCTATCCTGTATGCGGAAATTGTTTTTCCGAGTAGCGATAGCTACTTACTTGTACGCGTTTTGTGTGTGTGTGTGTGTGTGTGTGTGTGTGTGTGTGTGTGTTAGTGTGTTGTGTGGGCGCGTGAGCACGTGTCGTTAAGTTCGTCTGGAATGCAGACAATAACAATTTTTATCATTATATGTAAAAACTTCGGTTTTCTGCGCGGAATTACAGATTAACTTGGTCGAGCAAATTTACCAACGCAGCTCCCAAGATTTTTTCTACGAAACATGAATATTGGTTTTTACTTACAATTATTATTAACTTTTTCATTAGTTGTCGCTGGTAATATAGCCTACGCTGCTCTTAACGTAATTGTTGATATTATTACGACAATTTTGTCATCTATAAATTCAGTAATAATCATAATTGTTGATAAATCCGTACATAAAAATAATAATACCATAAGTTCCGAAACTATCGATCCTCATAATGCGCTCTCAATGTCTTTGTACTTTTTTCTTTTTTCTTCTTCTTTTTTTTATAGCGTCTACCATCTGAGAAAGTAATGTCCCCTGTCTCGAGTAAGTTTCCAACGCATTTAGTAATTTGTTTGAAGCTCGTATGTTCTTTAATATCACAGTCAATGTGAATGTGCTTCACCACCGCGGTTAATCGAAAGTCTTTCGGCTGTCAGGCAAAAAATAACAATCCATAATCTTTTCCGCCTCGGTATTCTTATTGTATTACTTCTTGTCAGTCCGTAGAATGTGACCTTGGCATTGTGGGGATCATTATAATCGTCCCTATTTAAAATCATTCTAATTTGATGATAATACTTCGCAGTGCTGGCACATATTTTTCCAAATGAACTCATAACTTGTTGTAAACTTTTTGTTCCTTAACTGTTCAATAGCAAGAATAATCTGTAAGACGATGCTTGCTTAGAGACTCACTTTAAAAAAGTAAAACCGATTCTTATATTTTCCAGCCTAACCGAAAAAACTTCCTCACTTGGATAAACTTGGAATGCCTTGAGTAAAAGTTACAATAAAAATTAGGTCACTAGCTTTATAATGTCGTATATGCTCTCAAACCCTGATTTCTTTTTTCTTTATGTTTATACAAGACTATTTTTATTCATTGGCTTTTGTAATGTTGTCTAGATAAACTTTTCCTCTTTATGAAATTATTCATCGTGTGGGAACAAGAAACACACGTTTAATACAGCTTGAATTTTTAAAGAACAAACGCAGTAAAAATTATATACGACATTGGGGGTTAGAAAAAAAAAAATCTTAATAATTGCTGGTGGTAATATTATAGTTTAAACATAAAGTGAGTGTATATGTGATTCGTATAAATAATAGATTGGAAACATTATTAAACTAAGATCATGTACGAAAGTTCTGTTTCTTCTTTCATTTATTTTTGAATTTACAAACTATTGTAGAAAACATATTGTGAAATCTATTAATTATGATTTAAGAGATTCCTCGTTATTGTTCAAGTTACACAAACGCATATTGTCTTACTAACAAGGTTTATGAATTTTTTCATAAAATGTGCTTAACGTTAGATGTCATACATAATTGTATTATCTTACCGTATTATCCGATAAGAATTTTTAAATATACGTCGATTAAATTTTATAAAAGAAATTACTGTATTATAATGTAAATAACGCAGTGTAAATATCGTCTATGAAAAGAATTTATTAAAAACGAAAATTGTAAATGCCATTTTTACCTTTTACTTTACCTCTTCCAATGATTAATCAGGCACCATTTAAAACAAAAAAATGACAACTTTGCAACTATCTGAAAACCACGAATAATTTCAGTTAGCTTAACCTAATAAGTAAACATGTAAATCCGTGTATTAATATATTTTATATAATTATACAACCATGAGAATCACCTGGCAGTAATGTAAATAAATTATAGATATCCTTAATTATTAAGTGTAGTGATTTATCATACGATGTGCATTATAGTTAAAAAAAAAACATATATCTATATATATAATAAAAATTATATTAAAATAGATTTCAACAAAAGTATGCTTAATTTAAAAAATTAACATACCCTATTAATAATTATTGATTCAAATTTTCTTAAATTTTATATAATAAATATAAAATTATTTTACTACGTGTCATATGCTTGCAAACTCATTTATGTGTATTATGTGAGTAAATATTTACAGATTGATTTACTTAAGTAGTGGTATAATGTTCTTTAATATCAAGAGTCTATTGTCAATCGCAAAACTTAATATGTTTTTCCATTTTTTTATCAGTATTCTGGACGGATATTTTGACTAGCGTTAGCGTTCATGTGCCGCCTGGCTGCATTCTTTCTCTCTTGCAATAATAAAAATTCGACATCGTTACAAAGCCCAAGTAAACTTTTTTATTAAAATTAATTTAATACGATCTT